TGCCCTCTCCGACACAAGCCCAAGATTTATCCTCTTACGCTATCGTAAGGAATATCTAACTTTTCTGTTCAGTCACATCATAAGACCCTCCATACAGTAGTTGGTCATCTTTCGGTGGTGGCGTCGCAAACTACTAGACTCTGTCTCTCTTTTATTAAAACATACGTATAGTATACGTCCTTATTCACTTGCTCTTACAGAAAAAAAATTTACTAAATAACATAGTAATTTTCAATAATTCAAATTGTATTCTGTAGACGGCAGTATTGTAAAAATCAACATACTGTAAGTCTAGTCCTGGATTACGATGTTACTATAGTAATTTTTCATAGAATTTTTTTTCCGTGTATACACACACATACGCAAACGCGCACGATCGGATGTCCAGTCAGAAATAGTCGGATTGACTTCCTACACAGAAAAAAATAATTTCTGGTGCAAGAAAATTTTGACCAGAAAAATTACTCTCGAGTAAAGAATTTTTTCCTTTTTGTGTAGGATCTCAAAACGTGGCGATCTGATGAAACATCAGACACACGACTTGTAATTTCTAACTTCTGAAAATTACTTGTTTTCAAAACAGGAACTTTTAAAAAAATAGAAGTTTTTGCTTTTTGTTATGAATCCTTTATTTCGAGAAAGGGAGTTTTACATTGTTCCTTTAATAAAACTAACAACCGAAATTGTGCTAGATTTCTAACTTTGGAAAACTTGTTTCACTTTTATTCTACTTTACGAGGCCCCGAGTCGAAATTCAAGTTCCGTTTTAGCGGTAGAAATGTCCCAAATCGAAATTCGAGTTCTGTTTTAGCGGTAGAAGTGTCCAAGCCCTTTAAAGACTGATTTGCCGCCTGAGAATGCGTCTGTTTTGATGGTAGAAGACGGCGCAGGTGAAAAATACCGCTAAAACAGGCTTACTTGGTTCTGTTTTGATCGTAAAAAATATCCCTGATAAAAAAAAAAAGTATTGAGACAAAGAAAAAAATATTGAAAAGTATTGGTCTTCTAGTCAATCCAATACTTTTCAATACTTTTTCCTTTGTTTCAATACTTTTTTTTATTCAGGGATCAGAAGAACTATTATTATTATTGTTTTTATTATTGTTATTTTTTTATTTTTATTTTATAAAGATTTGTTAATAAGAAAATGCATCACTTGAATCTTTAAATGACTATATCTTTTAAATTATTGAAGTTACGGCCTTTATGATTCAGGATAATTTTATAGAGTAATTATTGGACTACTCAAAAACAATTTTTTTATATTTTCAATTCCATTTGTCCATTAGTTTTTTTTATTTATTCAAATTCTTACATGGTTAAGGGTACATTTTCTGGATTTTATTGTCACATTTATATGTTCACACACACAACAGATTATTATATGTAAAATCCAGAAAAATGTATCCTTGACCGTGTAATAATTTAAATAAATAAAATAAACTGATAAACAAATCAAATTAAAAATATAAAAAAATTATTTTTGAGTAGTCCAATAATTACGCTATAAAATTTTCGTGAATCATAAAAGTCGTAATTTCAATAGTTAAAAAAGGTAGAATCATTTAATGATTTAAGTAATGCATTTTTTTATAAACAAATATTATAAGAATTGAACCATAATAGATATAGAGCATATAAAAAATTTATTATATAAATTAATAAATTGCCTAAAAGATCGTCCTGAAATTCAAAGACCGTGGCATCAATAGCTTAGAAGTTATAACAATTTCTAAGTTATTAAAATAGTTGTTCGCTTCAACTTTGATGGGGTAAAATAATTTAAATTTCAATAAAAAATTTTTTTACAATGTTTTGTCGAAAACTATCCAACGCGGATATTCCTCGTAATTGTTTTAAAATTATGATGAAATTAGGATTAGGAGGTTAAATAAAAATACTTGGATTTTTTGGAGAACAATTTAGATGGTTTATTTGTCCCCAAAGGAGGAAAACCCAGCTAGGCTGGGAAAAAACCTCCTTGATGAAAATTATACAAGCAAATTGTATGTGTGTAAGTGTGAATGTGTAAAATTACGTTGCAATAACGCAATAGGGGTGAGCTCAGCCGCCGTATAAAGAAAATTATCGATAATTTGAATTTGTACTGTCCCAAGGTGGGAGCTAGTAATATCTAATTAATTAGATAAACTGTCTCAAGGCGAGAGCTAATAATGTTCAATTAATTAGATGAATTGTCCCAAGGTGAGAGCTACTAATGTTTAATTAGTTAAATAAATTGTCTCAAGGTGAGAGCTACTAATGTTTAATTAGTTAAATGAATTTAATTTGTGAATTGAAATATTGATAATTATGATTAAGTAAATTGTAATTAAATATTGAGAATAAATTTAATATAATTTAACTTTAATATAGCGTGTTAATTGTAGATTGACTAAAGCCGCGTGGCTGATGCAATCCTTTATGAATATGACGCGTAATGGCCGCGTGGCGTCACTAATTAAATCTACTTGATTTTACTTTATTTTAATCCACTGAACTATTAAAACTGATTTGAATGATTTGAGAATGTAAATGTTGTTAAGATGAAAATAATTATTTCTATTTAATGAATGATTTAAGTATTTGAATAAATGTAAGATGCAAGTAAGAAATCTTAGAATTGATAAACACAGAGTAGTCGTACTAGTACAAGAGTCCAAGCACAACTGTTGCATCAGACCACGCGAGCCGGCTTCTCTACCGCTAACCAAGGCGCGCATGAGCGACGGCCATAGCGTGATACGATTATTCCCGAGTTTATACGATTATTCCCGAGTTTTAACGATTAAGCCCGAAGGCGGACCCCCTGTGTATAAGTCTGGCGAGCGTTAGGAGTAGGTTCGGAACCCGGGCGTTGCGGTTTTTCGGTTATTTATTTATATCTAAGGTATTCTTAAGTTAGTTAATTACATGTGTTCGAGTACTTACAATAACTATCACGAATGTTGCCTTCATGACTCACAACAATAGAAGAAAAAAAAAAAGTCTCACGTCAGTACAATTTTTTTTATTGGAGTCACATTTAATTATTGCCTTATATATTAATAATTTAATAATAATTATATTCGCTGAGTTATTCGTTGCCCGAGAAAAAATGTTTCTATATAATCATATATAATTGTATATGATCATATATGATTATATATGGAATCACATATATAATTATATAGAATTATATATAATCATATATAATTACATATAATCATACATGATTATATATGAAATTGTATATGAGGTTATTTATAATCATATATAATTATATATGACTATATATAGAGCAACATACAGCCAAGCAAGATTATATATAATCATACATGATTATAAATGGAATTGTGTATG